GACTTCACTAGAAATTAACCAAAATGATATTCAGGAGGGATCATGAGGAAGTTGACCTGGCATAGCACTGTAGTGTTAATCATAAACATAACAATGTACCTGTATGATTAAACATAAAAAATCTTTAATTCTATAGAAATCTTATAAATGCAATTACAGTAATCTCATCCAGCGGGAATAAAAAACAAAATGATTTTTAACTTAAATTTAATTTTATATTAAAATACTACATTTTTAGTACTACTACTAAAACTATAACTAAAATAGTTGAGACACCGTTATATATTTGAAAGAATGTATCTCAGAACTTGTAACGCAAACCATTGTGGCAATAAGAACATAGAGAGTATTTTACAATTTTAATATGATATAAAAATATTCCAATTAAAACTATACAACTATATATTAGTACCGTGATCACACAGACAATATTATTGTATTAGTTTTTAAATATTATATTATATGTATGTTAGTCTATAAGGTATTTATAATATGGGCCTAGTTGCCTGAAATAAATAAATAAATAAAAAATAAAATAAAATAAATATATATTGAAATTAGGATATTGCGGCTTCGTTAATTCTTCGTTGTTCATTCGTTCGTTCGTTCGTTCGTTCGTTCATTCTTGCGTGCAAGTTTTGCTCTTCAACACTTTTCAGTAGGGCTGTGCACTGCATATGTAATATATTTATCGCTTGGTTGAACTCGCCAATTTTAGGAACTATATAGGTTCGAATTTATAAATTATTTATGTGTGGCATGGAGCATTTATCGAGGAAGGCTATTACATATTATATAAGCTATGTACTATCAATTGGACCCGAGCACCAATAAAAAAATATGAAAAAATGGGGAATATTTATTCTTTTTGAGGGCTTCTTTTGTATTATGTGATACTAACTTGGACTATAGAATTAGCTAGTGTAATATTATACTTGTAAGTTTGGATTGAATACTAAGAATTCTACTTAGAACCTACCCTAGTATGTAGCTACTTTAGGATAGGATCACCCACTCTAATAATACTAAGAATTTTAATTCTTAGTAACAGTATAGTACATACTTATGTACCTAATACTAACTGTGGTTTGAATACTAAGAATCCTACTTTAGAACGTACCCTAGTATGTAGCTACTTTAGGGTAGGATCACCCACTCTAATAACACTAAGAATTTTAATTCTTAGTAACACTATAGTACATAGTACTTATGTACCTGATACTAACTGTGGAGTGAATACCAAGAATTCTACTTTACGAATCTGCCCTAGTATGTAGCTACTTTAGGGTAGGATGACACCACCCTAGTAATACTAAGAATCCTAATTCTTAGTAGCAAGTAGTATATTTCTTAACTACTTATGTACCTACAAAGGTCTGTAAGGGCTCTTAATTTTCAGCCCATTCATGCAACAACTTAGCAATTTCCCTGAAATGATTACAAGTACCGATGGCGTGTGCGGTAATAGTGATTCACGACTTCGGCCGAAGTGTTGCGTGAATTGATTCTCCATTGACTCATAGGGTGTGTAATTCCACTTCGCTTCTTTGTAATACTTATGCAAATTGAGTATTTCCCTCCAAGGTCAGTTTTCTCCCCCTGTTGGGCGTTTTGATACAATTTGAGCAAATAATGACAATTTTTTCATAGTTATAATAACATAGCTGTATCCTGCGCGTACGTCTGCTTTTATTTTAAACAAACAACAACCTATGTCTGTTACTATATACCTTTATAGCACATTTTCATGTGTCCGATCCGTTAAGATGTTTAGTAGTGAAAATGTAAAGACAGAGACTCTTTCGCATTTATAATCTATACATATAAATAAAATTGGAGTGTCTGTTTGTAATATTGAAATAACCGTTTTTTACTACATGCATATGAATATAAATACGGCACATATACCAAAAAACCCCTTTTTAAAATTTTTGTCCGTCTGTCTGTCGGTCTGTTTGTTCCGGCTAATCTCTGAAATGGCTGGACCGATTTTGACGGGGCTTTTATTGGCAGGTAGCTGATGTAATAAGGAGTTACTTAGACTACTTTTATTTTAGAAAAATAATGTTAAATTCCACGTAGACGAAGTCGCGGGATCAGCTAGTAATTAATAAAATTGTTGACTGGGAATGAATGCTATAGCATTAAGTCCTTTTGTACCAATTTTAGTGGTCAATAAAGCGGTATAATTGTAGTTGTTTACTATTTTGATTTAGACCTTAAGTACGAGTGTTCAGATCTCGCCAAGACTAAAGACTATGTGAGTCAATTTTGTAGAAATATAAACTCTGGGAACATTGATAACTAAACTAATCTGTGAGGAGGTTGTAGACTCTTTCGCAGCTACGCTGGATCCAAACAAAACAGACCAAATTTGTCTGGGCAGGGAGAGAAACACGAGTCGTAAAGGGGAATATTGACGTCGGCAAAGGGGCCTATCAAACCTACAACCGGGTCACAAGTTCCGAGAACTGCTCGGAGTTTCCTTCTCGGTCACACGATGGACCCGGCACCCGCACTCTAAATAAATGGAATACTAAGAAGTTCATCTCTTGCGTCTATGGCGACAATTGTTTCATTCGGTAGTCGTGTTGCGAAAGACGACAAGATACGTAAGTTCATTAAATTAACTCATCTTCCTATATATATAAATACTAGCTTTTACCCGCGGCTTCGCTCGCGTTAATTTATCCCCTTAAGGGTGGAATTTATCAAAATCCTTTCTTAGGAGATGCCTACGTCATAGTAGCTTTATGCATGCAAAGTCACAGCCCGATCGGTTTAAAATTGACAAAGTTTCATACAAAATTTCATCCCCTATTTTGTCCCCTTGGGGTAGAATTAATCAAAATCCTTTCTTAGCGGATGCCTACGTCATAACATGTACCTGCATGCCAAATTTCAGCCCGATCCGTTCAGTGGTTTGGGCTGTGCGTTGATAGTCACCTTTGTCAGTCACCTTTGAGTTATATATATTTAGAAGATGAAGCGCTGTTCGTCAGTCTCGCTGAAACTCGAGAACGACCGAACCGATTTGGGTAATTTTAGAAATATTCGTGGAAGTCCAGGGAAGGTTTAAACGGTGATAAAATATGAAGAAATTGCAAGTAAAATCAACAATTTTATTGTTGTTTTATTTTCAGAAAATTGCGATACTAAACTTTTAAGCTATTATATATATTTAATTCTGAGGCGGAGTCAGCTAGTATAGTTATAAAACATTAGTTGCAAAAATGAAACATAACGTTTTAAAAATACCATGATTTACATACATTAATACCGTTAATCATACTTTTATATCTATGAAAATGTCACGAAAGCGATATGAAATTATTTTATAATAATGTCATGATAATAACAAATCTTTCCTAAATATGATCGCGTGCAAAGGAATATCGAATCTCACCGGTCAACCTCAGTCAGGGTCAGCAATTATGAGGACTGACATCGCATAATGGACAGCTTTCAGTGGCCGGTAGGTATGGTAAAGCTAATGTAATTTTGTGTGAAACAGCTACCCTATAGCCGGTCAAAGCATTCTCACTCTTGTGCCTTTGCCATACCTACTAGTTTTAAAAAGTTGAAGGAATGAATAAGAACACAACTATATTCTGTTGGCAGGTTTACTCTAAAGATTAATCTCAATATCGATTTCAAAACAATACAGTTTTGTACTGATATTTCAACATTTTACTTTATTTATTCATAAAGACTGGACCGAATAAACCACATAGCGCCCTCTAAATCCAAGTTAAGGGAGCTAGTGTTATGGGTACTAGATAATAGTACTAGATATAAATTCATAGATATTATTTTTGTAAATACATATATATACCTAGAAAACACCCAGACCGATACAAATTATCATACTTATGAATACAAATGTTAACGTTTAATAATTAATTTTAATATTTGTTGTAATTACGTGCGAGGAATCGAACCCGCGATATTTGGTAGTAAGACGGTGTACTAAACCGCTAGCCCATCGAGGTCGTCAAATTAATATGTAATTCAGACAATTAAGGTAATTTACTGATGACCTAGACTTTCATCGGCCGGTATTTATAGGCCTCGCCACTAGACATAGGTCTACCAAAACATGTCCACAACCTAATCGATTGTGTATATTGCATTACAAATTAAGTTGATATAACAGAGGACGAAATAATAAATTAACCCTCAAACAAGCTTTGTACGAGAGTTACAACGGGTATCTCAATGAATGCACATGCACACATGTGATGCCCATAAGCTGCATATATAGTCTAACTTCTAGGATGTAATGGTGTATCCGCCTAAACTAACGGTTTACGTTGGCGTGGCATCAGTGGAGGATGATAAGAGGTACCTACATGAGGTTATGCAATAATGCACCAGGCATTTGTCATGATGGGCTAACTGACCTAAACGGCAATTTAACATGATGGTTTCTAGGAGAAACGGTGAGATCAACCTGAAATGGTACTTTGCTAGCAACGGGGTCGTCAGTCCACATTACTAACAATTCCCTTTCGATTTTATTAGTTAAGATGACAATTACACTTTTAGTCGAATTAGGTGTTATTCGGCGACCAAAGCGCGCCTGAACAAACAGTCAACACTAGGCTTCCTAGCTATATCCGAACTCTATTCAATGCCTGATGATGCTTCGTTCAGAGGCGATACACGTGTCGCTATATGGTTGTAGACTCAATAACGGTCGGAATTTGATCGCCACTAGAGGAGGTTGCAACGGTAGTCAAGTTTCTACACTGAATCTTTGTGGTCTGACACATGCTAATAGTAACGGAATTAAACAAATAATATAAGTCCACTAAGTAGTTATCGCTTTCCATTAGTGAGCTGTTAGCGTGTTTGTTACGTTTTTGTAGGTGATATTTTTAGGGTAACGAGAAAGTCCAACAATTTTCCATCTGGTGGCCCATCTGGTTTGCCATTCATTCATTTATTTAATAAAGAAATCAGTTATTCCTCAATAACCAATTTACTATACTACTCACCTGCCGTTCCTGGATCGAGAGTGCAAGCTGTCGTCATCTCTACCCCATCCTTTGCCAATACTGGGTAGTCCTGATAAACCGGAGGCTTTTATCAGGCCAACTCCAGGTTGCTCCGTGCTTCGGGCTTTTCGGGCCCTTACTTCTTTACCTATACGAACAGATCAAGTAAAATTATTTGTTATAGAGCTAGACTGTAAAATGTCATCTACTTGGGTACCTCAGTTTCATAGTATTTCAGACGCCAAGAATGCTTTATAACCTATGTTTCCATTGAAGGGTACAGTAGTAGTCAAAAAATTTAATGCAAAGCAAACCATGCCTGCAAACTTACAAGTTAGTAACTTATAGTAGAGAAACATGTATCGGTAGTCAGGTGTCCACACTGAATACTTGTGTTTCACACATGATAGTGACAGCAGAATTCAACGAAATAATATAAATCTATTACGTAGTGAAATGGACTTCCGCAAAATAATATCTAATTTGATAATATAATTAAATTCTTTTGTTGTTTGAAATATGCATTACTGCAGAGTGGCATCATTACATAGTATAAAACAAAGTCGCGGTCGCTGTCTGTCCGGCCCTATGTATGCTTAAATCTTTAAATGTACGCAACGGATTTTGAAGCGATTTCTTTTAATAGATAGAGTGATTCTAGAGGAAGGTTTATATGTATAATACATCCGTGTGAACCCGGGGTGAGTATCTAGTTACGTATATGTGAAACTCATAAACTACTGAGTACAAGAGTGAAAATGAGTGATGGGTCACTAGTGTTTGATAGACTAGTACCCGTCTATCGTGTATTTGTCCAATATCTTTATTAGTGTTATGCAACCCAAAAACCCGGTTTAATCCATTTTCATAATGTACTACCTCTGGGTACTCACCAGCTCTGGTAGCAGCAACCAGGGTTTCTGCAGACTTGGATATGCTCCTACTGAGCGCGGTCGGTGGTGCACGCATGGGCGTCGCTTGCCGTTGATACATGTCTTGTGTTCGCGGTTGAAATAACTGCAAGTTCTTCAATGCCATCATATAACTTTAACGGCATTTTCGCTTGTTCTTTTTAAGTATCTTTTGGTCTACTCTTTTTTTCTTCATCTTTCATTCAATTAAATTAAATTTCGAACATCATTTTTTACCATGATTTATTTTTTACACTATTTTTTTTAACTTATTTCTTTAAGCAGCGGTAAGTTAATTCAAAATTCAAAATTCGAATTACTTAATTATATTTTTTTTCTTTTTGTGTCTTTTGGTGAAAATTTATTATTATAATATACCTATTGTATTATATAACCATGGAAAGTCTTATTTGAAAGAGTAATCTCTTCTCAGTTGAAACTATGTCTATTAATGTAATAAGTGCAATAAAGTATATATATATAACTATTTTATATTCCGAACTGACTGTAGATTAGAGTTGATTTGACTTAGAATAAGTTTCAGTTACCAAGTTTACACGAATAAAGATATTTTGAATTAAATAAACACACGCTATGTGTGGTTAAAACAATAAAATACTGAGAAATGAACTATATACTAGTAGTGAAAGTGTTATCGACGGTAATAAAACTTAACAAGCCAAAGTCAATTTATGTTTGTATCACATAGAGATTATGCGGGCGTACACTAATTTACCTATTAATAGCTAAACTAGAAACTGTAAGTAGAGGTGCCCAAAGTATACATAAAAAATCGGTTCTTAAAATAATTGTCAATTTCAATATATTATTAACTCGATTGTCTTTCAACTTTGTCACCTGATAACTTATTTAAATTAGACCAATAAGTAATCAGCCTTTGAAGCAGTGGTATGTTCTTATATTAACAATCTATGTCGCTTTATTTCCATGTGAACGTACATGTGTTATATTTAAAATACAGAACATATAAAATAACACACTTCACTTCGATAAAACAAATATACACTCGGTTTTAAATTAATTCAACAATATTTTTAATTTTAATTGTTGAATTGATTCATAGAGAAAAGGCGGGAAAATCGGAGATTGTTTTTTTTTTCAGTAGGTCAGCGCGGGTGTCTCGGGCGCGCGTGTAGCACAAACTAAATATTAATTGGTTTCAACCGGGGTGGGTTATAGAAAAATATTTCTATTGGACTTTTTGGTTTAATCGTTTATGTTATAGTGGTAAACGTTTATATTAGACCACTATTGCTACATGATTGGCGTTGTATTATATAGAAAAAGCCTATTTTAAATGTTATTAAATTTTAAAAGCCATAGGTCATTCTCCTTACTAATTTTCAAAACAATACATCATTTGAAATTATGTACATTTAACTTATAAATATTACCTATTTCGAATGTGTATAACAAAAAATGAATAAATTTTGTACTTTTAGAGATTTTAGATAAGATACGTAGGTACATCCAGGAAAGGAAGGACAAGAAATATACGGTATCAGATGTAGACTGTAAAAAGTCGTCTACGTCAGCTCCTTCAGTCTCATCTATTTCAACTGCCAAGTTACTTGCTTCTTCTCAATTGGATCTACACATCTACGTCTGAACTGGACGGTAGGGAAAAATTTAAAATTATAGTGTAAAAATTTGACGTTCATAACCGGTTAAAATGTCCTACATGAATCAATGATTTTTTAATTTGAATTTGAATTTGTAATTTGTGTGTCACTTGAAGGGTGGGGAAACTAGAACCATCTTAGTCCTGTTCATGTACTGTATTGTTATTGATGATATTAGAAACGTAGTGATTCCTTGCTCAATTGTATTGAATTGAACTCAGTGGCAAACCTGTTGTAATCTGATAGGAAATGAAATTGATAATCATCATAAACAAACTGTAACGTCCATAGGTAATTGACATTACTTGATGTAATTATATCTAGCAGATAGCCTATTTACATACATCTCAAATCGAAAAAATATTTTTATTGTAATCAAACTTGAATTTATGGTCTTCACCATACCAATAACAAAATTTTATTCACTTGGTTTATTGCAAATATTTATTACTTATTTTTTTTTTATCATCTGTTCTATTTTTGCACAAAACAAATCTGGTTTTTACATATACAGAGTAGTAAAAAACCTCTCAAGGCAGTGTTGGATAATTTCTTAACCATTCTAAAAAATTAAAAATATACAAAAAAAAATTATTAACGGAGGCACGGCCTTCCTCACTGCCAGTAATTACACGAAACTAAATTGAAAGTCCATGGAATGCCATCGATGCTTATAGGGACGTCGAGTTTTTCGATGTTTACGTGTATTTAATATTTATAGGAAAATTGACCGACAGCTAAGGTTTCGTGGAGTGGGGTCAGTGACCGCAATTTGCCTGGTCTCCTCCACCTTACCATTTAACAGGGAATAAAATTAATACTTCATTTATACTACCTGTACCCAGACCTCGCCTTCATGATCTTCTCGATTTTCTTGATTGAGTAACCCATAACGAAATTACATACCTACGTAATAATGAAATTCAAACAATTAAAAATGATTTGTTCATATAGGACACTAGTTGTTAGACGCGATTTCTTACTTTTTATACATTTTATGAGCCTTAGCCCGTCCTAGTGATAATAAATATCATATATACAATCTTCGTGTTAAATTTCATTATACGTCTCCGATCGATTTCCCGTCCAATTCAAACAGTGATCGAAATTACAAACCTGAGCCGAGGTTCGAATCCCTAACGGTGCACAGACTAAAGTCGCATCCGTCAGGCAGGAGTTACCCTTCAGCCGCTCCATAAGTCATTCCCCGGGTTGGAAGTGCCATCTGCACTCGCCCCTATCGTCAAGTGAAGCTGTAAAGGCTAGCAGCGGCCAACAGCATTAGACTAGTCAAAAAAAATCATTTCGTTGATCGTTCGTTTCATTCTTTCATCCGGTCAGTTGTGAAAAAGTAACGGACAGATAGACTCGTAATTATAATATTAGTATAGATTTAAGATGGTACTTTTATATAAGACTAGCTGTACTCGCGACTTCGTCTGCGTGAAATTTAACTTTAGTTTTCTAAAATAAAAGAATTTTTGTAAAATAAATGTAGTTTAAGTTATTCCTTATTACATCAGCTACCTGCCACAAAAAAGTCCCATCAAAATCAGCTCAACCATTTCTGAGATTAGCTGGAACTAACAAATAGACAGACAGACGGACAAAAATTTTAAAAATGTTATTTTGGTGTATGTACTATATTTATATTCATATGCACGTAGTAAAAAACGGTTATTTCAATATTACAAACAGACGCCCAATTTTATTTATATGTATAGATTGAGGAAATATAGGTCATTGTCTGTTCCATAAAGAAAAGATGTGAAAATGTAAATTAAAACAAAATAATTAGTAGATTAATGTTTCATTTTGTTGCTGGCAGCTTGCCTTGCATCTTTTTTATAAATACCCTTCTTTTTATATTCGTTTTGAGATCTATAAGAATAATTGTTTCTCGCTTTTTTTTTAATATTAAAATATTACTCTCGCTCTAGTTACACATATAATAAATCAAACAGTACATCCAATACTAAAACATGATTGAATTAAGGCTACAATAAAATACATTCTATCGGATAATTTCATATACAGCTATTTCTCGCTACGGCATGTGCCCTTGCCCCTATTATTTATTTTCAGTTTTTAGGGTTCCATAAATCGTATTTACGTACATACATACATATATATTCTGGAGGTATATTTCTGATACCCTCCGAGCGGTCTCCCATTCAATTCAAACGGAGATCGAAATTACGACTGCCTGAGCTGAGGTTCGAAACCCTAGCGGTGCCCTCAGAATAAAGTCATATCCGTCAGGCGGGAGTTGGCCTTCAGCCGCTCCATAAGTCCTTCCGCGGGTTTGGAGTGCTATCTGCACTTGCCCCCTATCGTCCGGTGAAGCTGTAAAGGCCAGCTGTGGCTAACAGCATTAGAGTAGTCCGAAAAAAAAGTAACATTTTTATTTGCAACTGCGAGTGATATACAAGCTAAGGGCCCACATTATAAACGTCACCATATCTATACATGTAATTTTTTTGTGCCGTTTATACATTTTTTTATTTTGTATTCCAAAATATATATGTATTTTTTTTCTTCATAACATTCTTATTTGTAACAATTACACGTATTCGTAACAATTTATCTTAGTGGATATGAATAGTCTTAAAAATATGTTTTTTGTAATTTTACCGCAATTACTTATGTTATATTTTATTATATATTAGATACCCGCCTCGGCTTCATACGGATGGATTACAAATCTTTTAATTTCTCGGCTTGTACTATAGTTTGTATCAAAGAAAGAAAAAGAAAGAAAATAGTTTATTTGGTACGAAACAAGAATAAAAAATAATTTTTAAATTTAAATTACATACATTATACTAGAAGACACATATATTATACATATAAACCTCCTTCTGAAATCACTCTATCTATTAAATAACGGCATTAAATTTTTCAATCTATATTGCTTTATTTTTTCCTCGTATCTTGTTTTAATATCGTTGCAATGAAGCATTACAAAAAAAAATGGACCAGAAAATATTTCACGGAACCCTTTCATGTATATAGTTCATTGCCATCGCGAGTTCAGTGTCCATCTGTATGATAAATGACTTAGGCATTGTGTGTGCAAATTGCTTCCAATTCGGTATTGATATATACATCCCCGTGATAGTGTTTCTTTACACTACATTACACCTTTGTAGTGTAAAAAACACTGTTCTGATGAATGTACTCCAGACTAAACCGGATTCTCTAATGTGGAGTGTAACCTTAATCCATTTCATCATCTAGAGAGATGTGCTTAATCCATTTCATGATCTGGAGGGATCTGCTTAATCCATTTCGTCATCTGGAGGGATGTGTTTAATCCATTTCATCATCTAGAGAGATGTGTTTAATCCATTTTATCATCTAGAGGGATGTGCTTAATCCATTTCATTATCTCGAGGGATGTGTTTAAATGATTTCATCATATAGAGAGATGTGATTAATCCATTTATTAATCTAGAGAGATATGTATGATTAATCCATTTCA